GAGTCAGATGGGTCAAAAAAATCGGATTTGGGTCGGATTTGCCTCCAGTGTGAACGTAGCCCAAGATTAACCTTCAGGGTGGATATAGCTCCCTAGCAGCCTCGCACCGATGACCTAGTTGATGTCATCATTTACCCAGAATGCTTTGCATGTAAATAAAATGGCCCCATCTGTGTAATATATTTTTAAACTTTTAGTTTAAAGATTATAAAAACTGAGCATCCTACAGTATTTTTACAGTTTTTATTTTACAGTTAAAATATGTTTATCATATAAAGTCTGATGTTACAACTAACCGTGGATCCCTTTAAAGACAATAAAACTTACATCAGTAGCTCTTTGAATAATACTGGAAACACTTACACCAAGCCAAACTAACTCTATTTATATTGTATTGGATGGAGAAGGCCTACAATGTACATCCTCAGACAAAATTGTTCTCAAATGTTTGAAAAAGAAGCGTAAAAGATGAATAACAGAATAATGTTCAGATTAACAGGTAAGTGTCGTGAAATTTATGCCACATGCTTGATTTTTTATTTCTTGCTAAGTTCATGGTTCTTTAAATGTGAGAAATGTGATCCACGTCTCCAATCTGGAAATATAGAAAAAGTTTCACTGTTTCACTTCAGTCCACATTAATTGTCTTATTTGTTCTATCACCAGATTAATTTAAAGTTTTGCTAACTTAGATTAATAAACTTTGCCATAAAAACTGACATATTTTGACACCTTATCAAATAAGATCTTTTTCAAATGTAAAGAAATACTGTAYGTGAGGCATACAGGGGCTCAGTTATAAAGCAGCTTATATAACATAAATGCCAGACAGAATAAAACAAAAAGGGRTTTTGCTGTATTTGATACTCATCTGACGTTTTTTCCTACATGGAGGACATAATACACTCTAAAAATCTGTTGTTGACTCAACTTTTAAAAACTGTTGCATCAATTTTCACTCAGCCTTTTAAGTTACTAACATTACCTATGATTAAGTAAATCCAACATTCAGGTTCAGCTAACTCACCTGGTTTAGCAAACAAACATGATTTAATTTGACCTTCAAAAGCTTAATTAAGTTGAAGCAACCAAATATTAATTTAAGTGTTTTTGGTGATATTAAGCTGACAAATTACATTAGTTGAGTTACTCTAACTTACGTTTTTGCTTACAGTATATCATATTCACAAATATCCATGCAATTTMTTTTTAAAGTTACCAAAGTAACTTTTCATGTTGTACAAACTTAATATTTTCTGTCATTGAGTGATGACAAAAATCCAATGTACTCAAACATTTAAGCTGAGGCGGTGCTTTTTAAATTTTTTTTGTAGTGCTCTGTGGTGCCAACTCACTTAAACATGTACTTGAAGACACTTTTATGCTGAAAAATGTTTTATGTTAAGCTCCACCAACAAACACCATGGAATTTTTTAGGGTGTAATTATTGATTTAACTGAACACATGTATAATGAGATGAGCAACACTGGAACAAAGTAAAATGAATAAAAGGATTTTCCTGTCAAATGAAACACTGAACAGTTGTCAGGGTATCATGTCCAAAAATGCTCCTTATAATAAACAAGATGGACTTTTATGAATGGCTCAGAAAATGTTTTTAACGTTTCTTTAATTATAACAAAAGTCAAAAGTGTCTCCAGCAGTTCTGGACAGGTCCTCTGACTGAGTGTGAACCTGTCAGGTTGGGTCAGGACCTGTGAGGTCAGGTCTCGTCAGAAGTGATGAAGCAGTGAGTCACAGCTTGCTGTAATCCTGTGATTTAACAGGGAGCTGAAAAAGCGTTTCCATTGAGAGAAAAACAAAAAAAAACCTGATTTCCTATTTCCTGATCGGCTTACTGACAGCACCACCCAGCTTCCTGGTTTAATTAAAACCGACTGGTGTTCCTGTTTGGCTGCGGGTTTAAACCCTTTTTTTTTTTTTAGATTAAAACTGAAGCTGCGTAATTTTCTCCCCAAATCCAGCCTCGAAAAGCTCCCTTATAATAAAACCCTCTYAATATTTCATCTGACTCGGTGTGTTTGCTCCAGGGCGTTGGTTGGTGCCTCACCTGTCGGACCAGATCGTAGTCCAGCTCCCTGGCGATGGCCTCGGCGGCGGACATCCCTCCGGGGATCTCCACGGCCCACTCGTTCAGGTACTGTCTGTCCCCGAACAGGGAGCCCAGAGAGGCGGGGAGCGCGGAGCAGAGGACGGCCAACACACAGAGCAGCACCGCTGGACGGCATCTTACTTCCATGTCAGGTGGGGGAGAGCAAACAAAAAAAAAAAAAAAAAAAAAAAAAAAAAAAAAAAAAAAAAAAAAAAAAAAAAAAA